ATATTCCACAAATGGCGGCCTAAGGTGCTATAGCTGACTTGCATGTTACAACAGTCCTTCGGGGCTCATTGTGTTAACCAGGTTAGGAAAAAAAGATTCCCTAATTAGATTGTTTGTTTGAAAGACTGTGAGAGGGTGATGTGTTTGAGAACTGAAGTCCTGTTCTGTGTGTAACAGGTCTAACTTGGAGACCATGAAAGGAGGAAGTGAGGTCAGGCCAGTCTGGGTCCCCTGCCCTTTGCCCTCCCCTGGGTCTCGTAAATTAGCCTGCTGTAATTCTCTCCCAGACGGCCTTGCCCCAGCAGGTGTGTGTTTGTATATATGAGCGCTAACAGGGGGATGTGAGTGCTGTAATGTCTGTGATCTACGGTGTTGGGAATGGAGGAAACATGCAACCTAAATATGCTTATCCTCTCTGATTTCACACAGGCCATGTAGATAAAGACACTGCAGGGAGGCGGGGTTAACTCACGAGGATACGTGAGCCTTGAATGTTCCCTTTAGCTGCTTGTGTGTTCTGTCCTATTCGGCATTGGAAAATATATCCAAAATATCAAAAGGTTGAATCAAGTTCAGCTTTTACTTCTCTGATTAGCTCAGGCAGTAACGGCTCTCTTGGGAAAGGCAATGTTGCCATTGAATAAAAGCATGCGTGCATTTTGGCTTCAAATGGTAAACATCCTCGAATAAAAATGCTACTGTCTCTGCAACCATGGGGGTATCTTTATCAAAGTGACAGTTTGTTTTGGCAAAGCTCAGACTACTTATAAATAAAGTTCAATTTTGTAAATAATTACTGCATAAAACAACAAGCAATGCAGTGTCGGTCTCTGCGAATGGGAGAATTAAATCCCCGATGACGATCTCCCCATGCAGATTAATAAAATATCACATCTTTAGAGGTCATTACAGACATAGTCAGGTTTTTTTTTGTCACCTATCAGTTTTGTGGATTTATGCAGACAGAAAATAAGCACTGAGGGTAAAAAAATGAAGACATGAGTCTTCCACTTCCTGTCTTTGTTTCTTTGCATGCATATTTGTGTAAAGCTGAGGTCTGAGAGCCTGAGTTTGCCAAAAGACAACATCAATCAATTAGAATAGCACACTGTAGACCTTGTGTTTGCGGTTCCACCCAGCCTTATGGGGTAAAGGCCATATCAGTGACAAGAATATTAGCAGGCCTTTGTAGACATTATCATACTCCTCAAACATGATGATCAAAGTAAAATCTTAAATCAAATATGTGAACAGTTTGTTTGAACTTTGTTTAAAAAGTGTTTACATGAATAAATGTATTATTATTATTATTTAAAGGAACAACATTTGGGGAAATATGGCGAGTGTTAGATGAGAAGATTGATATTCTCGTGTTTGTATAATACATATAAGGGTACCTGAACATGCCAGTAGACGATTAGGAAATGGTATCAATCTTCTCTTCCAACTCAAGGCAAGAAGATTGAACTATTCCTGTGAGCAGCACATGTAGCATTGTCAGGATTTCTCTCAGAAGACCATCTCAGACGGTGTATGGCCTTTTTCCTCAGGGAGTCTAAACAAAAATGAAACCGCTATAGTTATTCCTTCATGTTCTTTTCATTGGAAACAATGTGGTTGCGACTGTGACATTCATGTAGTTGCACTTGTGAAAAGTAAATAGCCAAGGGTGTCATGCTGCTGGGATCTTTGAGAATTTGCACTTTACAGCGCCATTATTGTATTATTTGGAAAATGTTTTTAAAATTTGATGAGAATACACTAATCCAATGTACATTCCTGTCACTCAGGTGCACTTGTCTCTTGTCAGATTTACAAAGAAAGCAGTGTAAACGTCTGCATGCACTAGGAAAAAGAAAGCAGAGTTTATGTCATGATATCAAATAAGCCACACAAAGCCACGTACACACAAAATACACTAGTCGGAATGTAGTCGGACACACAGAGCACTGATGTCTGTTATTGCATGCATGCTCCATCAGTCATTGGACTACACAGGCAGCAACAGGGAGGTCCTGTGCTCCTTGTTGTTGCTGTGTCTAGTCTCTTGTTAGAGAATTGATGACACTGTCTTTGGAAAACAAACAAGGCGGGGAGCTAAAAAGGTGGTCACTCACCACAGCTCTCTGACCCAGAGACACAGAGGCCACCGCAACATGCGAGCAGCGCTGCAGCGCCCCCCTTGGAATGTGCTGCTGTGTGTGTGTGTGTGTGTGTGTGTGTGTGCACACGCTCCTGCTTGTGTTTCAGTGATACCATAGCTGGAATGCGTCTGTCTTGTGCCTGAATGTGTGCCTTTATGTGTTTTAGTGTCAGCGTCCCACAGCAACAATAACCTGCGTGCAAAATGAAAACACTGTGATAAAAGGAACCTTGTTGGCACCTTTTTCTTTTTTTTTGTGTGTGTGTCATATTTGCATTTCATTGCTAGATGCCAAAATAAATGTTCCACATCTCAATGTCAAATGCAGAGAAGGGGCCTGTAAATGTTTGGCTGACTAACTCATTGATGTGGATGTGAGATGCTCCCCCTGTGGGCACTGTCTTGCCAGAGGCTGCTCCTGTCACTCCGTGCTCTGACTCACACTTCACATCACAGTCCAGACCGTGGTCCCGGGGCCTCCCCGGTACGAACACACCTAACCCTGCACTGGGCCCCCGAGCCTTGTTCTGGGAGCTCAAATCCCATAATTGCAGGCCTGACAGTGATAGCTAACATACGAGACACCCTCACCTGGTCGGAAAGAATGAAAACATCTACTGTCAAAGTGAAGCGAGCAGATGAGTGGGGGTGCTACCAGGTATGGGGAAAGTGAGTAACATCTGGGACAAGCAGGAGGGGGAAATAGTAGCTCAGTGTTCTGTGATAACTGGTATTAGGATTAATTAAACTAATTTTCTACAGTGTACTCGAAAATAAGCCATTATTAAGGACAATCTTTGGGTTACATTGTGAAAATACATCTGGCCAGTGTATATCCTATAAAAGCATTACTTTTTTGTTAGCTTGCTTTAATTCATCGGGAAGATAACTACATTTATTTAATAAAGCCTCAGAGTATCAGGATCAAGATCAGTTTATTAACAACAGCAGAATTACAAGCCAAATAGATTTTTCACAACTTAAATATTATTCCCAATTTATAGTGTCTTACTGAGCTATAAAGCACTGATTTGTAAGAAAGTAAGTAAGTCGTTTATTTTACAAAGCGTCATGCACCAAAAGTTACCCAGTTTTGAGACAAACTAAAACAAATGATCAATTACATAATGACAGTAAAATAATAAATATTATACACCTCCATGTATGGTAAATAAAGTCAAACGTGTTGAAGCAAATTTGAACAAAACACATCTTCTTAAACATCGCAGCTATAAACATAACTAAGGTACATCTGAGGCACCAATTGTGCATTTAGTGCCATATTACACTAGTAGTGGGCAGCAATTAATTAAGGATTTATTAGCCATTGATGTAGCCAAAGCAGTACTCCTTTTATGCCCATTTGGGAGCAATGCAAGAAGATGTAAACAAAACAATGTCATATTATCTCTTGTAACAGCACAAACATTTTCTTATTTACACATCCAGCATACACGGAACAACACAAGCTCTAATCTTCTGTTGTCTGCTCACCTGATGACTGCTAGTCCAATGTTTTCTCTCTTTTTTTGCTCTGCTGGTCTCCACAAACTACTGAGAAAAACACATTATGCCTCTTTAGCAACTACATGCTCAACCGTGTTCACTGGCTAGTTGCAACTGTAACTTTGTCTTCACATTGAGACTCTCGGGCCACACAACAATGAGCTGAAAGACGCCAAAACACATCTGATGGGAACTGCAGAGTTGATGATAATTCTCAGTGCATTTGTCACTTTGAGTGACCTGTTTCACATTACAAGTAACATTTGACCCATTGTTAGTATAGGCCTATGAATATTGATTTGTGCAGCTACACAAACTTGGTTGGACCATGCAACAGCCTATTTATTGGACAGTGTAAGAGCGAGCATTGTATCAAAAGTAAAATTAATTGCTAAACAGAATAACCCCGCCGAGTGTGATATTACCAAGTGTATTACTCTAGTGGCTTATTATTACTACATTATTAACACGTAAGCAGCATTTTAATGTTGAAGCTGGTGGAAGTGGAGTTTAACTACACGAACGAGGTCAAACAATGCACCAGCCCCCACTTTACCAGTCAGGAATATTAAAAGACTGCACTGAGGCCTCAAAATGGGCTGAGTGCGGCCTCCAGTATAGCCAAGACACTTTTCAACAGAGTCCTGATCCTGGGAGAGCAGAGAGCGGGAGTGGCCCTCATTTATCAACCACTTCAGCTCCTGCAGACGGCTGTGGGGAGAGCACTGTGGAGCCGGCGTGTTTACACCATAGCTCAGCCGAGGCCCTCAGGACGGAACAGATGAAAATGCTTGCACATACTCATTTATACATCCTTACATGCACTTACTCACTGCGTGTCGAGCCCAAGCGTAATAGCTGTCCCTTCAGTTAGGGTTCAAATAGACATCTATAATTTGATGTACGACCTTGCTTTCTGCAACAGGGCTGGCACAGTCTAGCAGATATCTTTTTCGTGACTCATTTGATCTTGATATGTTTTATTTTACCTATAAAATAGAACACATTACTGTACAGGGGGAAAAAACAAACCCTCATGCCATCAGTAGTTGAGGTTGTGGTCAGCTCAATCAATGAGGCTGTTGCACCACCTTGTGGCAATTCTATATGATTGCAGTGAGATCCTGAACCACCCACTTTCAACCTTGGACGTTTGATGTGATATGTGTCAGTCATGGTACAGTGGTAATCATTGGTCAACGGCACCCGAGCGTGTGTTTTCTTAAACTTTGACTTGGCCGGGAGCAGTGCTGGGATTGGCTTGGCAGATACATGTCGATTTCTATTGGTAAATCCTCTCACGCCCACTTCACCTCCCACTGAAGCCAAGTTGAAGGTGAAAGCCCTCTTATCATCCTATGCTTTGCTCCCGTTAGCTGTCCCGGTGAGAGCTTGTTGCTTGTTGTTGCCACAATTTTCACTAAAATACACAACAACTATGTCGGTGTTTTGTGAGGTCCCACTAGCAGCCCCTGTAGCTGTCTTCAAGCTGTCGCAGGATTTCAATAACGACCAATTTCCCAAGAAGGTGAACCTCGGAGTGGGAGGTAAGTTGTCCAGTGAGTTTAGACCCAAAACGATTCTGTGAACTGTATCGGAAATTCTAATGTCTTCCATGTCCATGTTTTTATGAGGGTTGCCAGGAAATTTGATAGCAGATGACAAACTATGCCCCCCCCCCCATACAGTATTTAGACAGGTAATGATGCCACCATACATTTTGAACACATGTTTTTATTTCTCTGACAGCATAGACGTATGGACGTGGTGGCTGTCTGTCAATTCAGTCTTTCATCACAGAATCTGACTGGTCACGGATGTCGACATAGCTGTTGACAATGTGTTCTTGTTATGTGTGGCACAAAGAGTGGACTCATCTCTATCCCTGTCCTCTCTGGTTTCCTCACTTTCTCCCCCCTGCTGCAGCTCTGCACAAAACCCTCACACTCTGTGGACTAAGGACTCGATTGGATTACTGTTCCCTCGTGCAGCAGCAACAAAAAACAAGCCCGTTGCATGAGTTCTTTGGCTTTAGTGCTGCGTTAGTACTGCGTCTCTCCTAAAGCAAGCAAATGGCACATTTCACTCCCCAGTAGGCTACAACCGTTCTCAGGGTTAATCTTATTAAAGGTAGTAATCCCTGCTGCTTATCATTGCTAAGGAGCAGTGTGAGAAACCTTGCTTAGCTCTGTCATGTCAGTGTATTCATGGCACCGCTCAGCATGACGAAGCTGCCCCATGATTAGTACAGGAGGCTGAGGCCTTATAATCCTCTTCTCTCTGCAGGACACACAGTGCTGCAGATGATCAGCGGCTGCTAGGCAGCTGGGAAATGTAGGCAACACAATGTTTAATACATAAAAAGTCATGAGTAGGCCTGAAACAAATCGATTGACAGAAAATACATCAGCAACTATTTTGACAATGCACTAGCCTCATCGCTTCAGTGATTGTTCAAGACATGATAACAAAAGTATCAATTGCCAGCTTCTTAATGGGAAGGATTTGCTGCTTTTCTTATCTCATTTGATTAACTGAATATCTTTTGAGTTTTTGAAGACGTCACATGGGGCTTCAGAAACTTGTGATTTACATGTTTCATTATTTGAAATGTCCTAATGCAAAAGATCATGCACTTAATGCCAGTGGAGAAAAAAAAACTCCCCGTAGATGATAATAAACCTGAAACTTCCTTAGTGAGTTGCAAAGCAAGTTGATGGTCTCTGTTCTGAAGATAAAAAGGCTGTTGTATACTTTAGTCCTTATCAGGTGGTGACCTGGAGTTCAGTCAACAGAGAAATGAAAGCGCATGCCTGTTACTCTATCTAAGTGGTCTTTCCAGGGCCAGTGGGACATTTCTGTTATTGTTACCCAGGAAGAGTGTCCTTACCCATCTTAAACTCATACTTATCTAAAATGTAATCACTAAGCAATACAACAAGGCCTCACACTTTCCTCCATTTTATTGTACAATATCAGTTTCCTTAAATTATTCGTTGCAGCCTACCGGACAGATGAGGGCCAGCCATGGGTTTTGCCAGTGGTTAAAAAGGTTGAAAAAATCATTGTGCATGATGACAGCCTAAACCATGAGTACCTGCCCATCCTGGGCCTGCCTGACTTCAGATCCTCGGCTTCTAAGATCGCACTGGGAGATGACAGTCCTGCCATCCAGGAGAACAGGGTATGTGTAGGAAAAAAAAAATGTTTCCATTTTTAATCTCTTTACATTCACACCATTTCAACCGTCTGTTTCTGTCACTGCCAGGTGGGGGCTGTCCAATGTCTGGGTGGTACAGGTGCTTTGAAGATGGGCGCAGAATTTCTTTGTCGTTTCTACAATGGAAGCAAAAACACCAAAACACCCATCTATGTGTCCGCACCTACCTGGGGTATGTCCACTCATACACACAAACCAACAGTGCCGTAGTATAGAGTGGAGATGAACACAGAGATTAGCTCCTCACTCATGGACTTTGACCTGTTTATCCTTTACAGAGACTTTGTATCGTCTCAAGATAGATTATAGACTCAAGATGTGGAGTGTTCCATTTTTTAATTTAGCATTTTATCAGTGATCTTGCTTAAGTATCAGTTCCTATGTGAGACACATTAATAAAACAAAGTTTTACCTTTGTATTTTGAGGAAATACAAACAATAACGTGAGAATACTGGTATCAGAGTTTTTCTTACCTTTTGTTTCAGAAAATCACAATGCTGTATTCGCCAATGCCGGCTTTGAGGATGTCCGTCCATACAAGTACTGGGACGCAGAGAAGAGGGGCCTCGATTTAGCTGGTTTCCTTGGAGACCTGGAGGTAAGCATTGTGTGGGACTCGCGTACGACTTCATTTTGGTCATCAGTCATTTTCATTGGGAGTTACAGTACTTCTTCTACTCTCTGTTTCCCACAGAGTTGTCCAGAGCACTCTGTCTTTGTCCTGCATGCATGTGCCCATAATCCAACTGGCACAGACCCCACACCAGAGCAATGGATGCAGATTGCAGAAATTATGATGGTATTATCCACGTACATGCACACACACATACAAGCCAGCACATGCCTGGCCGTGCTGCTGTCTAAACTATCACCACTAACACAAGTGTCCGTTCAAACAGTCACATTGTTTTGCATGCTGAATGTTTATCATAGTATGACGATTGTCTATTACTCTTCTCTTCTTTTCTAGAGGAGGAAGCTGTTTGTGTTCTTTGACTCTGCCTATCAGGGATTCGCCTCGGGCAGTCTAGATAAAGATGCCTGGGCAATCCGCTACTTTGTCTCCATGGGCTTTGAAATGTTCTGTGCCCAGTCATTCTCCAAGAACTTTGGCCTCTACAGTGAGTGACGCCTGGGTGCATTAAGTTAAGATCACTAGCTTGCAAGAGAGTAGTTAAAGAGTGACATTTTTGTAGTGTTCCTAATCTTAATGACAGTCCTGAGCGCTTTATATGGCGACATTTAATAGTAGAATAAAGGATAAGCCCCCAATTTAGATTGCTGTAATTTGTCTACACTCGTCTTATTTTTAAAACACGACAAATATGTGTATGACCACCAGCATATAGCTAAAAGGTACAGTAAATGTGTCAGTGTTGCCGCCTACAGGTTAAAGAAAGTAATAGCTACAATATTGTTTAATGTTTGACATGTGTTTGTCCTCGTCAGATGAGCGTGTGGGCAACCTGACCATTGTGGCTCATGATGCAGACAACCTGAAGCGAGTTCTGTCCCAGATGGAGAAGATTGTCAGGACCACTTGGTCCAACCCACCGTCTCAGGGAGCTCGCATTGTTGCCATCACTCTCAATTCACCTGAGCTCTTTACTGAATGGTCAGCACAGAATATCCCTATAAAAAGAACACTCAATGTGTACGATATATACAGGCATAAAGATAATGTATATTTTGTAAATGTAGAGTTCTTATCTGTTTCCTTGTCTTAAGGAAGGACAATGTGAAGACCATGGCTGACAGGGTTTTGTTGATGAGGGCTCAGCTGAAAGCGAAGCTTCAAGCTCTGGGGACACCGGGCACCTGGGACCACATCACAGAGCAGATTGGCATGTTCAGCTTCACAGGCCTCAACTGTGAGTACAAACATGTACACAACGCGAATGTTTTCTAATGTTTCTATAACTTTTAGAGATGCCCCGTCCATGTTTTTTTTGACAGATTGCTGAGCGTCGATGAGCCATTTCGGCTGATACAAATCGTTTTTGTCGTTTTGTTTTGTTATAACTGCTGCTATAATAGGCTCCAGACTTAATTTGTTTTCACCACCGTCCCAAAAAAATAATTTCAACCACTCTGAAGTCAGTGTAAACTGTCAGAAATTCCTTTACTTTGTTTTTGTCATCCACGGTGGTCATTTGCATAAAAACACACAATTAAAAATGATTAGGAAATAATAATGTATATTTGTTGATAAATGAATAATAAATAATTTAGTTTCTTCCCAAAAACTACATTGAACAAGATTTAATTTGAACACATCATGATAACCTTATAAAATGTATCAATGACTAATACTCACTTTTCCTGAATAGAGCCTGAACGCATCATCATAACTGAAAAGAGCCTCTGTATGTTAGCTTTTAGTTGTTGCTGGCAACGTTAACAGCCGACTTCAACACAGATTGATTGCTCACAGTGTAGCATTATCAGAGATGTGCGACTAGGAAGCATTAATGACGATATCTTGATCGCTTATCTTTCATTGAATATCGGCCAATAACTAAATAAAACTTTATTTTACACTATGATGGTTGTTTAATTAATCTGCTGTTCACATGCGTGTGGAACTGCGAGGGGGGATCCATATGAATCACAAATCAACTACAGTCCATTACATTACTGTTTCCCTTTGATACAAACAAATATCGTCACAGATATCGTGATAATCACTGAATAGTTAAATCTGGTTCTGCTCTATTTCCTTCAGCCAAACAAGTGGAGTATATGGTGAAGGAGAGACACATCTACCTAATGGCCAGTGGTCGCATCAACATGTGCGGTTTGACCAGCAAGAACATCGACTACGTGGCTGAGTCCATCCATGAGGCCGTCACCAAGGTCCAGTAGAAGACTACACTACCCACAGTTCTCGGTTCTTCCTCCTGCCCGGCTGCGAGCCACCTGATTCCAGGCAAAGAGTTTGTATCCAGTAGATTTCCTGGAGAAAACATAAACTCTTATTTGCACAAACATCTTTCAGCTCACTGGCCTTGTTTCCCCTTCCTTTCAGTGTTTATGCTAAGCTAGGCTAAACACTTCTTTGGTCTATTTCTATCTGAACGCACAAATGGGAATTATTCCTTCTAGTAATTGTTCATAATTTGTCCCTGTTTTCTTCGTGTTGGTCTCCTGTTTATAGTGTGTACTTTGTGTGACATCACAGATGCTCTACATGTAGTGTCCTTTTTGAGTATGTGTCATCACCAGGACCTTTGCGTGGGTCAGTACATCTGTGACTGTGTTTCTTACCCCAGCAGTGCTGACTCAACTTTCTAAAAATGTTTAATGTCATACTGTTATGATTCATCCATTCCAAGTGTTAAAAAAACACATTTCCAATTGTATTAAACGTGCAGTAATTGGCACGTATGATTAACGGCTGTTGAGAGCACTGACCAAACTGGCTCAATGTAGCTTGAGTAAGTATTTACCTCCTCTATCATGAGAGAAGTAGCAGTATTATATTTACTGCTGTTTGCAATTTGAACAAGAGATGAGTGTTCTCAGGGAGATATTTTTAAATTGAACTATGTAATTTATAAATAATACTGTGTAATAAGTGTTTTTATTTCTAGTTTGTGTTAAGTGAGCACAAGTGGTTCGGAACTATTCTAACACGTGTCGTAACTCCAGAGTAATCTCCGTTTTCACAGCTGAGTGCTTTTATGTTTCTGGTTGCCTCGGACACCTGCCGAATTAATGTTGAGTTGGCACACTGATTGTCTGTTCGTAGCACTAGTGCACTATTATGTAAGACCGTGGTGTCAGTGGCAGGTTGCTATCCTATCACTGTGCACAGTACATAATAATATGCAAATTAAGCCAATGTGATGATTAACTACTCTAATTAAGAACTATGGATAGCATGTTTGTGGTGGTGTCACATATGTTGGAACTGATTTAATGATAAGGTTAAAACAGCCTTCACAAGCCCCTGTACAAGTGATTTGAAGTGAATGATTGGAGCAAAATATAATACTGTGTACACACTTTATAGTGGTTTGGATTTGGCAAATATAAGTGACAGAGACAAAACAAATTAGACAAGAATAATATAATTAGTTCAGTCAATTTATTAATGATTGAATAAAACCTTGTGTAGAACATATGGTCTGTCTCTTTATATCTTTGGGTAACTTATATAATCATCTACATTTTACATTACAAAATTAAAGTTTGCTTTTTTTAAATCGCAAACAAACTGTACATCAATCCTCACAAATATAAATCTGTGTTAACCAACTGCAAAATCTTTCAAAGCATTCAGCTGAGAGACTTTATGATTCACACAAATTCTCTTGCTCCACGTCGGTTGTCAGATCAAAAGATTTCCCGTTGGACTTTCTGTGTACATAGAGGGGTCAATGCGAATAGCTCAGCAGTGCAGTGTCCTTTGTACTTCCATAGCCTTACCGAGCAGAATGAATTATGTCACTGTGTGTGTGTGTGTGTGTGTGTGTGTGTATTTGATTTGGTGGAGTGTCAGTGTGTGTCATATTGCTTTCGTCTTTCATATATTTCTCCCTCTGTTCTGTTGGGCAATGTACCTGCCAAGATTTCACAACGCAGAGCAGCTTAGTCCAACCTGAGCTGCAGCTACCGCTCCCTTTTCAAAAAGGATCGTATGATTATTTCATTATTTCAATAATAGACGATTTATAGAACGATTGCTTAATTCTTTCCTTCAATAAGCTGCATCCTATAGCCTCCTCCATGAAAACTTCAGCCTTGTTTCAGTATTTATTGCACTTATACCTTTTTCTCAAACCTAAGCAATGAAAACTTTAGATTCATTTTAAAACCTAAAGTCACTTAAGATTTCAGTAAGTCACTCACTGCACCTTTGTGAAGAGAAGTTACTGCAGATCGTCCTATTCATGCATTCTTTTACTTAAGCATGCATATGGAAAAACAGGGCTTTCTACAGGGCATAATGCTACAGTAAAAGCAGCATAAACATGCAAGTAGCAACTACTCTTTCCTCGAGAATACTCATAATATCCATCTGGATCCCCAGACCCAAACCCCAATACCCCTAGCTTATTTTTAATTGGTGTATACAGTTTTAGTAAGATGAACTGTACATAGAAAAGTATCTAATGTGGTATAGCTAATGGTATGAAGATGATCGCCTTCCCGCTTTCTACTGGATGAAAACAAACAATAGGCTAATGATTTTTTTCAGAGGCGGTAACATCAAGAGAAAAGGTAGATAAGTGTGGGTGTTTGTTTAATAGAAACACTAAAACTGTGTCCATACAGCTACATATGCAGTGAGAAGGGAATGTTTGAATGGGAAGACGTACCATACAGACTGTATGTAGGATGCATTAATGTGGGAAGGACTCATTTACTGAATGTGTATGTGGTAGCCATTCACACCATGTAAGATGACTTATATTGCTATCGTCAATTACTTTAAGTAATTCTGACACTTTCATATAAAAATCAGCAAAGAAATTGTGTTGTTTCAACCACAGGTCAGTCAGTGTATACAATAAGTGGTCATTCAAGCTGAAAATTAATTCATGGCTTTTTCATAATTGTGTTCTTATAACTTGGCGTAAAAATTGTGCTCTTGTCTTGTGGCTTTTTATTCTTAGCCAATGGCTAGTGTGTCTGGTACTGTTGGCAGTCGGTGTCATTGTTATGGCAACATTAGGACAGTTTCCGTGTGCAAACCACATTTACATTATGTGGGAACTGCCTCATAATAACAAATATTAATAAAATAAAACTCTTGTATTCATTGTTTGATCTAGTCAAATGTTAAAGCTGGCTCAGAAAAAATGACCTGTAATTTCCATATTGAGAGATTCCATCTTGTCGAGTCCAGATGGCTTAAATGAGATGATTCAGCATTAACATTATGGATAAAGCAAGATTTCCCCGTTTACTACAAAAACATGTGATTAAAATCTCCATGCAGTCCAGTGTAAGGCTGGATAAATCCAAGACTATGTTGTTTAGATTTGTCCAATCAAGCTTTTTTCAGATCTGTCCCCCTTATTATCAGCAATCCCTTTAAGGGTGTGAAGTCAGGCAGAGGTGGGACAGAGTGTGCCAGTGGGGACCTGAGTGTTACTGGTGGCTACATCACATGAGAATGGCTCAGTCTCCTGTGAGAGCTGTGTCAGAGCATGGAGGGAGTCTATGAGGGGGGTGTTGCTTAATAAGGAGAACCAGTGAGTGATGAAGAGTAAGAAGCTTCATCCCTCCTCCTCCTCAGTGTCACTGTGCTAGCTCGTCACTGGTGGTTGCTCTGAACCTTCCTCCAAACTCTGTTCTCTGTCCCGAGACTTTTTCCTCCTCTTGTTGCCTAGAAACAGAGGAGAAATTCAGGTCATCACTGGTTAAAAACACCTGTCGTAACCTGTAGCTGCGTCAGTTTTCTTCTGATATTCTCATCCTTACATTTACTGCGATTGTTTTTAAACTACCTCACATCTGCTGTTAACTGAAGTAATGTTAGCAGCGCTAAGCAGCACAGCTACCGCACCAAAGAATGAATTCAAGTCAATGAGTCATATCCTATCTGAGCCAACAGATGCATCTGGAGAATCTGCTCTGCTGAAAAGGAGTAGGTTGCAGCGAGGGCCACTACACATCACCTGTTGCTAAGATACCTATGTCTGACAGAGAAGTTGGGGCGCATGTGACGGTGCGTGGGGGTGTGCTGTTGCATCGGTGTTCGTGACAAATTGCTCGCTTACTCAATTTACGCAACAGCTTCTTCCCAATGTTCTCCTCCGAGCTGGACAGAGACAGGGAGCTGATGAAGGGAGAGGTGGAGGGTTGGGACTCTGTAGGCACGTCTGACAGATACAGTTTAAGAGAGTTAGACAGAGTGTAGATGGAGGGAAATAACCCCCTGACCTACGGTGATGTACTGTAAACAGCCTACAAGATAAAACCCAGTTGCTTTTTGTTAGGAAAACTGACTAGAGCTAAATGGGATCACAAGAAGGAATCAACAAACATCTCCTGGTGAGGAACGGTGTGTTCACATACTTCTGTAATAAAACCCTTGAAATGTGACATGAAAATGTTGTGTAACAGTAGAAAAAGTAGAGAAGAGTCATAAACTCAGCAATGTGACTCAGTAAAGTAAGTACACAGCAATATATATCTGAAGTTTATGTTATTATATAATTTTTGCTAACAACACCATAAGCTAACAAGTAAAGCAGTAGCAGCAACATTCTTGACTATATTGAAGGGGGGGTTATAGCATTTGGATTAAACTGTTCTTTTGAGAGGAATAGTATGTTATTTCTTCTTTAATTGTTTCATAATTCTTTGACTGAAACCTTTCAACTAAAAACACTCAGCACTGGCAAGTGCGTTGACCATTATTTACCACCATTGTTTTTTTAATTTTTAAAATTTCTGGATATTGTTTACATTTCAAAAGGAACAAACTAAAAATCCCTGGGATTCATGAGCTTTTTCTCCAGTCAGGATGCATGAAGCTGCACTCACCATTCTCTCCATAATATTCCGGCCGGTCCTCATGGATGTAGGGAATCTCATCCATGCGGAGGAACGCCGTATCATTTGGACTCCTCTGCCCATCGGATTTACTGCCTGTGAAGAGGGATTTAGACCAATCAGTCTTAAACCAACTGCTCTGATCCACACAACAGCTGCTGGTTTGTAGCTCTGCCTGTAGAGGGAGGTAAAGAACTTTCTATTTTTCGAGCAATGGGTTTTTGAGGTTCCAGTAAGTTTAAAATGACAGTAGATTAAAAGTATAAGGTTTAAATTGCAGCTAAAGATGAGCTACAACTAATATGTGAAATATGTTGTGTTGTGATTGAACATAAAACCTGGTGGAAGGTATATAACTGGATGCTACTCTTTTATTGACAACCAGCTGAACCATCTGTGCAATGACACACAGCGTAAGACAGATGGTATGTGGGAAATCCTTTAAGCCTTGAAACCAGTACCGATTGGATGATGCCATGTTTGCACCCGTTTTGTGAGTGAGTCACTATGGATGTTTAAGTTAGAGGATTCATTCTTTACTGATAAATCTAAAGGAAATAGATTAAACCTTATCCTGGGTCAAGCATTTTCATTTGTTTTCTCATTTACTTATGTCACTAGCATTGGTATGAACAGCTTTTTTCATGTAGTTAATCACGTATCGCTTCTGTCAGACAGGTTTTTGGCCCTTGACCAACAAAGCACTTCAATCAGTGTGTTTGGTCCTTTGAACCTCCTCTTGCTTCCTCTTTCTCATGGAGCTAGATCATCATTTACACGTCAGGGCTTTGGTGTTGCTTTTAACAGTGAGCAGGGGAAATGTTACAATAAACGAATGTATTTAAGAGTGAATGGAGGAAAGATCGCCCAGCTCTAGTTATATGTGGATTAAGGCTGCTGATAGCTGATATTTGTGTCAACCTTCACGCTAACACCAAAATGTTACAAAATGCTTCCTTTAGAATTCTATGAAACAGCATTTAGACCTTAAAAGATCTGCACTGGAATCTACACAGAGGAAATAGCTTCAGAGCCAGTGGCTCTTCAGGGATACACACCTAACACACCTGTTAAACCTACGTTTTTCATCAGTAATAAAGCCAATTAAAATAAAAGGACAGATTATCAAATTTATAATAGATTATTTTTCAATGGATTAATTGACATATCGTTTTAGCACCAACTCACCGGTGTGACGTAAATACAAGTTGCACAGTCAACATATTCTATCACGGCATCTACACCATACTTACGGACGATACGGTTTCTTTCATTGAGCTGGGAGGTGTTGCGAAGGCCACCGTGGGGATGGAGATGTGCAAGGCGTGCCAGCCCCAGACGAGTGTGCGTGTGTGTGAGGGGGAGGGCGATGCTGTGCGAGCGGACCTCTGGGACCGCAGGCCTCCCTTTAGCATCGAGATAAACCGGGTCTGGAGTCTGAGGGGAGCTGTCCATCCTGGTGGCCATGAGGGCGTTCTGGTAGTGGTTCCTGGTGATCTGTGGGGACATAGAAAGCATGTTTAAGATCTGTGCATACATGGCTGCCTGTCTAACTCCAGTGTGTGTGGACAGGGGGAAACGTGGACTGCATTGGGAGATGAAGGGAGAGGGCACATCCATCATTTCAGGTGAAATATTCATGGTTGAAATGGAGCTCAATTATCCCCAGTGACTAAAGGAGAGAGGTATGGAGGGCAGAGCGAGAGACAGGATGACTGTGTTCAGTGAGAAGCAAAGATTAGGACATATCAAAGGCAAACGCTGCAGCAGAGGAAGAGCTGCATTTTTGAGAATCTTGAAGATTAAATGAAGGGAGTTTAAAAGTGCACTTGCTTGCTTGTGCTCCCAATTTATTTACATTTGTTTGAGATTATAAACAGCGGTTGCTGATTTCTTCATACGATTCAGTGTTGTGTGTAGGCATTCTTAAGGGGTAACCTTAATGATCTGCAGGTCTGTGAGCTGTCGAACGGAGTAGTCTGGTAAGTAGACCCCTCCTCCTGTAGTGAGCTGTCCCACACTGCCTCCACTCAGTAATGAATCTGATTGGTTCAGACCACTGCCTCGGGAACTATACCTCGGACCTGAACAGAACAGAACAGAAGAAGTAAACACATTGTTAGCTGTGTAGTTCTTACATATACATTATCGCTATTGGGCCAAAAACTGTCCAAAAGTAAGAAATGAGCTAACGCACCCAAATCTATCAAAAATACTCAAATTATATTTTTTAAATTTTTTATGTTCAGCACTCTGAAGTGACATAGATGTTTTTGGCTCTGCCCTATTTATTGTGCACTAATGCTAATTCAATTGTACTTGTTCAACTTTGACTATAGTTGCGCGTTCTGCAGCTCTGTCGCTGTCATTTTCCAATTTTTTAGAAATGAAGGAAAACAGTGTTATTGTATATCTCTTCTCCAGCTCTCTTTATTGATTTTAACGGACTTAAATTGTTGCCAATCTTGACTTTACTTCAATACTGGCCACTCAAGGCAGTTAACGTTGACATGACTTGCCCCTTTTAAGTCTTTTTTTTTAACACAAACTGTTCCTTGACAGACCCACACCTTACACAGTTACCTATACCTTTCAAAGATATTGTTATATGATATATTCTGTCTGGTGCCATAACTTAAAAGACATTGTCATGTTTTACTTACTTTTAATTTAAGCTAAAGAGAGCAGGTCAGCACTTCTCCAATGACCATACTTTTGAAAGATGGCGTTAGACATAGAAGTCATTTTTGTGCATTTTGTTGCGTAGGTCTTTTCCATTGACCTATATTCTGCATGGTTTTGATTTGAGCACTGCCTAGCTAAATGTTGGAGAGCAATGACTCAGAATGAGAGCAAAAAATAAATAAAGTCAGTAAAAAAACAGCTTTTGAGATGTGATAATTCTGCAGCTGCTTAAGATAACATTTGGGATTCTGTAATGTCCCAAGCAAGGATTTTCAATATTTAATGAGTGCTTCTATTTGCTTTAGCTCACTCTGAACATCACATATGCAAAACATGTAACCACCACAAGAAACGAGAGAGAGTAAAAAAGAGAGATAGAGAGAGAGGTTTTCTGCTTGCTCTGCAGTCTTAGATGGATTTCATATAATCCTGTGCAGGTCATGTCCTTCCACTGGGAAATTCTCTGAAATCGCTTCTTTTAATTACTTACTTCCCACGGCAGCTCCTGCTTTTATCAAGCTGACACAGATGCTGGGTGGGATTTAGACAGCAAAAACACGTTCACCAGCACTGCCTTACTTTATGATTATTATTGCTGAACTTCCCTGTTGTCATTACCCTCATTGTGATATTGATCTGTATTGCTTCATGTGTGCACTTACTTACCAATAGGCAAGGGCATGATGAGTGCTGGCATGCCATAACAGGAAAACGCTCCATTTTCAAAGCGTAGAGCCTCTTTTCCTATCTCTACCTCCACTCGTCCCTGCAACGCCAAAAACAGCCATTTACAAACATTAGCTATATGGTGTGATACTTAATTGACTACTCATCTAATGGAGCCTCCCACACGGTAAATATGCAGCAAAACACTGCAATTACAAGCACAGAAGTGATTTTGTTTCATAATTCATCTGCAACTTCTGTCATTAGTATTATCTGGTTTAAAAAGCAGCAGAAGAGTGTTTTACCTGCAGAACGAGGACAAAATAGTCCACAGGTTTGTTTCTCTGAAAGAGGTAGTGTTGAGGAGCGTGTTTGTTCTTGGGGTTGAACTTGAGTTCCTGCACAATGCTGGGATGTTTGATGAGACGCAACAAGACCTTCTCTGACAGGTGACACAGCCTAAAAGGCTCCACCTCTACAAGATAAATGCATATAGACACACACACACACACACACACACATTACACATGTCCTTGTCCTGGTTTTACCCTGCAATCCATTGTGTGCAACCACAAGTACTCTGCATGCATGCTTAAACACACATACGATGCTACCTGTTGCCAAGAAGCGGTGTGTTGCGAGCAGCAACTGGGGTGAAATCTTCACCTTCAGCTCATTTTCTGCCAGTTTGAAGATCGAGAAATCCTGCTGTTTCCTCTCGTGGTTGGACACACGTCTTCTGTTCCGATTATCAGCTATGAACACACACAGATTGCAAATCATAAAAGTGCACGGAAGCCAGTGCTAATTTCATATTTCATATATGCTCTGATATACACTTTTACTGATTATTAGTTTGTCTTAGGTACAGTAGCCTATTCCTGTTGACACTACAAGTAAGTAGAAGCTACTTTGAGGTGTCACTGACCTCATTAGTTGATGCTAACTGATGTATTAGTGAGTTGATCTCCAGCAGCAGATAGCTTGACATTATCCACCTCTCATTGATAAATTGGCTTATCCTCTGCAGACACGAGATGCATTAAATGCAATACATCCCATTAAATACATCGTAGCTGCAGCAGGAACAGCTGGTGCTATAAATGCCTGAAGTGCAAAGTCTGGAGAGATTAGCTCCCCTGTGCTATATATACACACATAATTATGCACATGCAGACACACACTAAAAACCTGAGTTTATGAACACCCACGCAAGTGCCCCAGTGACTGCTTCAGACTCTCTGCATGTAATTAAAATGGTAGCACACTTCAAAATGTTATGTTCATGGCTTATGGGAATTTTTTTGAAAGTTACTTCCCCAATTGTGTCCAAATACTGTGATAAAATCCAGTGAGTGAAGTGAAAGCACAGACCAGATTAAACATGAAATGAAGGGAGTTTGGCATTTGACTTCCTTTCTGTGGAGAGCCTTTCCAGCCAATTAAAGATGAGCGGATTATGGTGATTATCTGTGAGACTGGGCCATTCATTTACATTATTTAATTATGCATCAGCAAGGAGCTGGGAGCAACAGAGGAGAGAGCGTGGGATCAATATAGTTTAATGAGAAAACAGGAGAGGAGATGGTGGAAAGGAAAATCCATCGTTCTATAAATGCTGAACTGCTAGTTGTAACAGCCCTAAATATTACAATATACTGCATGTGTTGTAGAATTGAGTGTTTCTCAGTGATGTTGTGGACCACAGAGCTGAACAAACTCTGTCAGCTGCTGTGACAAACTGAAAGAAAATCTATTCAGTGCGGCGGCTGGAAATATAGTCAAATTGATTCACAGCTAAAGCAACAGTGACTTTGAAAACAGTTTCATAATCGGCTTGTTCGTGCATCATACGTACTAAACAGGTCTGTCTCATCCACAATCTCAGACTTGATGATCTCTTCTATGACGTCCTCCAGGGTGACGATGCCCATCACTTCATAGAAGGGGTCTCCCTCACCTTCGCTGTTCACCCTCTGCACCACAGCCAGGTGGGACTTGCCTGCATTCATCAGAAAAGAAAAAGGGTGAGTTCAAATGTTTTCACAATGAGAGTTTATGCTAAAAACTGCCCATGCAATTGAGTTGAGAGGCAGCGTCACTGGATAAAAATAACACGAGTCAACAACCTCCAACTGGATCTGTGCAGAGAGGAAAATCAGCATTAATACACCAACTGGAGCTGAGAGGCCATAAACGCAGGAGAGAACTAACTTAGAGCTTGAATATGACATTATTCTAATGTCAGGACGGCCCTTGTTTGTGTGTGTGTGTGTGTGTGTGTGTGACTCAGACGAGAAGAAAGTGGGCATTGGGGGATTAGTGTGGAGACACTTTGACAGTTTGGAAGACTTGGGCCCTTACGTAAACACTGAGATTATGCAATCAGTCTGGGGATGCCTGCATCTGCTGACTTAACTGCCCATGCTGCTGCCACCTCTGTAAACACACATACATACACACATACACACTTTACACATCCATGAGCAGACCCAGCGCTCCCTTTCCGTAAGCGTTAGGCTGAACATGACATGCCTGCCAGATACAATGACACAGGTCGCCAGCAGCATCTCCGGAACGAGACAATAAAGCAAATGTGACAAGAAGTTAAAGTTGCCACCACAGTCGAACATCACCGGGAGAGCAGAACAAACAACCCCTGAACACATTAACGAACACACTATTAGTTGTGACATATAGAGAACACAGATATTTAAAACGTAAATCTATTATTATGTACATTTCTTCTTTGTGATTATAACAGTCGCATTCTTCTTATGTCAAATGAGTTATCTAACCGAATTCATGACGTCACTAGAACACAGATTTCAACAGCCTCCGACCTCACTTGAACAAAATCAGTGGCTCATATGAGATGGGACGATTTAGGGGATCACTGCCAGGGGATAAAATGAATCAAATACTTTAATCCACTGCAACAAGACAAAAAAAAAAAAACCTGATTGACTGACAGACAGCCATCTCCAAACATGAAACTCTGGCTGTGCGAGATTGGCTGAGATGACGAGGTTGTGCTCAGCGCTCAGGTCAGCTTGTCTGAAGAGCTCAGGTGAGTCAGAGAGTCGGATTTGCCATCAGCTAGTGATGTGCCCGGGCACACTGCATTACATCATTCATATGTTACATAATACTCTTGCAGACCGACACACACTTACCAGACTCACACACAGAGACACACAGACACACATGCCCGGGGCGAAACTAGATCTACCGTGAATGTCCTTTTTGAAAATGCTTCTGCTCCGCCAGTTTCTCCAGCTCTCTTTAGTCTATGTGTGGTTTTAGATCTTAATGCATGATATGTTTGCATATGATCTTGCAATATGTGTATGTTTGACGTCTGTCTCTGCAAACATTACAGCCATACAATACTATAGGAGGAAATAATGTATTGTTTTTTATATTTTTTTTCTCTCCTTGTTTTACACACATGCCCACACAACAACTTATGCACACATTTAGCTTGTAAAAACCATAATGGCTGCCTTTTATGATTTCTTGGCCGTTAACTAAATGTCTTGATTTTATTGTTATGTTGTTGTTAAGTGTATTAAATGGTTTCTTTAGTAGGTTTGTCTGCTAAATTTACTCAAATACAGCACATTTCAGGGAGAAATATTGTACTTTTTACTCCACTTCATCTATTTACTGGATGTATTGATTTTACATACAAAACATATGATCAGCTTATAAAATATAAAGCATGTTGTTACTGATTAAGCTTTCCAACAGTGTATGAAGCAGTTAAATGGATCTACATCTTAACCAACTACAAAATTAAATCCCAGCTTACATGCTAATGCCCTAATAAATATGACCGTGTACCATACTGATGTAATACCGACAGGGGCCATTTTGAATCACCTTTTATATTTTAAGTACATATTGTTAATAATAATTGTAAAGATTTAGATTGTATGACTTTTACTTGTAAAGGAGTGTTTTATAACATGTGTTACTACTTTGAACTAATAAGAAATTACCTCAGTACTGCTCCCACCACTGATGCCTCACCCCGATAAATCTACAGATTTACAGTGGATTTTGTGTTGCTCATGATGCCACGACAGCATACATACATACATTATAGAGCATTGCCTGCCGTATGAAAGTATATCAATGTATTTTCCACTGAACAGCGTGTTTGCAGTCCTCTCTTCCATTTCTTTCATAACTGGTGACATTTCCTTCCTTTATTCCAACACAGACCTCAGCCCAGCCCATCAGCCTTCTCAGTGAGACGTCTCCACAGCTTCTAGCCGGGCTTCCTGGGCAGCAGGAGCCTGTAATCCATGCGAGCAGGAGGTGAGAGGGGAAGGGAAAGGTTGGAGCTGAATTTTTCATGGTTGCTCTGCAGGTTTGTATGGCGACAACCCACAGAGGGAAAGAAGCTTCAAAGTCACCACGGGCTAACAATTAGGTGCACACACACACACGCAATCTAAAGGTGACCTTTTCACCTAACCTTCTCTATAAATAACACACAATAAGGAAACACACAGGGTCAGACTGGGGCCCATGGATCACAAGTGTCAGACCAAACCTATCCTTCATAATCCTGACCAAAATAAAGTTGTAAACCTCGTGACCTGTAAGTGGCAATCTAATTTATAACCCTGCCACGGTGTCCACGGTGTCCCCCTTTCACGTTCTAATCAGAACAACTGCTGCCTTTGACCAACATCTATTGAGCTCTCTCTCTGTCAATGAAACAGGTTTACATTCTAATCCCCCAAACATAAGCCAATGTCAGTGAAATCCTTACATAACAGCCGTTCCAGTAGCCTCTCATATGTCTCCATTTTACCGTGTGACCCCGTCAGGGGAGCAGTTTGAGCTGTTCGCTGCTCAGAATCATATTCAAATGTTATCATCCAGACTGAATGGGGCCCCTGGGGAGAAGCGACACTTTTTGTCAGTAGTGAACGGATGCTATTTATCACTGCATGTGTACGAGTGCTGTAATACTGAATGCACTTATCAGCAAAGATGCCTATCAGACAAAATATGTGTGAGTCAGAGAGAGATAGAGATGCTATTCATTACCTATACTGACATTCCAGGGAGGGTAAATGCCTGCACTCTTGCTAAATTCCTTTTCAACATTATATTAAAGTGCAGATCCGATAACTAAAGCTCATAATATAAAAAGGGGAAACAAGCAGGGGTGAAGGGGGCATAAAAGGTTCAGTGCTGTTGTCATGGGAAAATGGCTTTTACTACATACATTTTCAAGGTAACCCCAATCTGATCCTGGGTAGCCTCAAACCTCTTTTTTTTATGGCTGAACCAGACTCATTGTGTGACACTGTATCAGATTTCACACATGGCTCCCACTGCTCTTGGGATCAAAGGGCTTTACTGACAGGCCCACTGTGAGCCAATGGACTGATGACATTGACTTCTGCACTGAAAACATTTTAAGTGCAGAGTCACTTCAAAACACTTTTAACTCCTAGGAGGTAGCTTTGAGACTGTTCCAAGACATGCTTATGGCGCCTCCCACACTCGACACGGACTTCTTACTCTTACGTTATACGTTCTGAACATGCAATAACAAAAGACACACCTCCCTCCCGGAGAGCACTTCTGAGACCTGACCTCTGATATGATTTAAAGTGGAGTTACCTCTCTTAAATTCCTCCAGCATCACATCCAGTTTGGTGTCGTTGAACACGCAGTGCATGGGATGCTTGTAAAACTGAGTAATAGTTTTTAGGGGAGTGCAATCGTCAGGATCCACGAAGGCCAAGTCTTTGACAAACAGGATGTCCACGATGTTGGACCTCTCGTTCTCGTAGACCGGAATCCGGGTGAAACCGCTCTGCATCACGTCCGACATGGTGCAAAAATCCAGCGTGGCGTCCGAGGACAGCATGTAGCAGTCCGACAGCGGGGTCAGCACGTCCTCCACGGTCTTGGTCCTCAGCTCCAAGGCTCCCTGTATGATGTTGAGCTCCTCTTTGACCAGGTCGTGGTACGGATCTGTGACGCGTAACATGGCCACCAACTTCTCCCTGGTGTAGAAGCTACTAATCTCTTGGTGCAGCAGGATGTCCAAAATCTTTGAGACTGGGTAGGCGATGGGGAAAAACACCAGCATCAGCAGGCGGGTCGCGCAGAGGGTCCTGGAGGCGATGGCGAGACTGTGCCTGGACGCCAGGGAGTGAGGTAAAATCTCGCCAATGAAGAATATCCCCAAAGTACAAGAGGCAGTTGAGAGAGCTGTCATTCCTAAAATCTGGCACATCCACACCACAAAGCATGTATTTGTAAGCACGTTGCCAAGCACCACGGTGCAAAGGATGTAGTTTCCATGTTTACGCACCGACTCTATCTTTCGTGCGTATTTCTGCTCCTTCTCTGTGCCACTGTTTTGCAGGACCCGCAGCTCCACGGGGTCCAGAGCCAGCATGCTTATGTTCAGACCGCTGCAGAGCGCAGACAGTGCTAACAAGAGTACTGAGACACCTGCCTGGAGCCAAACATCTGCCTCTGGAGGTCTCTCCACCACCGCCAACCAGAAGTCTTTGGTGCTGAAATGTTCCCATTTCACTCCATCAAACGCGCACATGGAGTAGTATTTGATCCCCTCGCCTCTGCGCAGGTCTTTCGCGAGCAGCTCCACCAAAACTGAGTTGTGACTTGAGGCAGATCTGAAAGAGCCCAGCAGCTCGATGTCTGAGCTCTGGGCATTCTCCTCTTCGCAGGGATTCCCTGTGGACCGCCTCTCCGTGTCCCCGCTTTCCCCACCTGGTTCCTCTATGAACGCGATCCACGGAGCGGCAGGAGCGGCGTCAGGTCTGCCGCTGACGTTCAGGCTGTTGGGATACTCAGCAGCAGGAAATGTGGAGTAGTAAACCCTCAGTATGAAGCGGGTCCCCTCGATCGCCCTCAGTACCCCATCCTGCACGGACAACTCTCCGCTCTGGGTGTCTTCCGGCCGGACGCCGAGCAGTGCTGCTGTCGGGGCCGGCAGAGAGGAGAGGGTGACGGTGAGAAGTAAGAGAGAAAGCTGGTGCGGATGCAGGATGCAGCAGAGAGCATCCGCAGCATCCGCAGCCATCATGCTGAATGAACTACTGAAGGACACGGGAGAACTAGGTCACGTGGTCTGCGGATGGGCTGGATGGAGCAGCAGCAGCTGGGTGGCCATATCCACGCAGAAGAGAATGGGTACGAGAGAGAGAGAGAGAGAGAGAGAGAGAGAGAGAGAGAGGGGCACCAGAGTCTTTAAATATGCATGACAAATCGTGACGTGGGCCTGTCTTATTTGCTTTTTGCCACTTTCTAAAAATAGAAGGCAGGAAATGCCCAGCCATGAATGATTAATGTGATACACACGCGATCAAACAACACTTGCGGCTAAACCTTTAGCAGAAATGCAAAGCACAAATGTAACCTTTATGATGAGGGGAAAACACAGATGAATACATAATGTAGAGGCTCACCACAAACATAATTGAGATCATATATCGCTGAATTTTAAGGAACACAATCGTAGAGCTTTTATTTGTGCGGCAATATTAGTTGGGAGCAGCAAATATTACACAGCTAAAATGTGTTTTTGCTGTCTCCACTAGATGGCAGTATTATCCTCTGTTTCTGAAAATATGTCTCCTCTACCCAGATCCTAGTATAGATATCAGGCTTATTACACGGGATAATGTGTTTGGATTTACTTATTTGTCATAAGATATCCATTTGTTTTTCAAAATTCACATCCTGTAATAAATTGAATAATTGTTATAGTCTTTCAACATATTTTAGAAGGATGTATTTGGATCCTACAGCTTTATAATCACATACAACTTTTATATACCATGGAATGCATTATACATAAAGACCGACCTGTTAATGGGACGACCACATATGAAGTAGGCATTTTAATATTAGGAACATGAAATATGAATTCGGATTCAGGAAAATATATTACCATTATTGTTAGTTATTGCAGATTGATCAGCTGCTCTTGAATATACAGTGAAGCCCTCGTGCAGCAAAGGTCGATGGTCGTCTGTCAGATTTACGAGGTAGGAAACTGAAGGTGAGAACTGAGTTCTGCCAGGTCTTTAACACTCCTACAGTCTCTCTGCTCTCCATCAGCCACACATCCACAACATTTGGAGAAAAATACTTTGCACACAAGAACAAAACTATCTGGCTACTTCAAACGTTTCTTGTCTGCTCTTCTGCAAGAACAATATCCTCCAATTTGAACATCTCCGATATCTTACCGTCGGACTAAATGTTCTCTGTTTAAATGATGGTAAAATAAAAGCTGCACTTTCTCTTGTATTTAACATTAGTTATACCGATATTTAAACTTTGTCGTGGGCAGATAAAAAGAAAAAAAACACTCATATTGCTCTACAGAACATCTTATTATAAACTTATTAGAACTTGTAATCTTCAGTTGATCAGTATTTGTGAGTTAATACATTTCCCCATCCACGAGTCCACAGTGAAAGCCTGCTATTGTTACAGTGTCCAAATGATTTAATACAATTAAATATGCTAGTGTGCTAACGTAAAGTCAAAGTCAAATACAATTCCTGAATAAATACAAAATGTAATCAACACTGACAACACTTATCTTTTGCTGAGCAAAACGTTTCGTAATAGAAGCAGAGGCCCACGAGCTCCCACGTATTTTTTTTAAACATGAATACTCAAAGTATGTGAATTCAAAGGGCATACTTTTACTTGTTAGAAGAAATGGTCTATGTTCAACAAAATAGTTGTATTCAGAACATGCTGTTAATAAACTATAGCATAAAGTTATACGCTTAAAACTACGGATCTTATCTCTTTTTGCACGTAATTCCTTAAAGTATTCGGTGCAGCTTGGGTAAAGGTGATGGTGTTGCTTTTATTTAGTTTTATCCTGACCTGAGCCTCAAATCTGTCCGAACATTTTAAATATTTTTTATTTCAACAGTTCCTCCAACTGTCAAACAAAAAACTGCAACATGCAGCAAAAATAAAATGAAGAATGTTGTAAAAATGCTCTAAACATAACACACCATAATCACACAAACACATGTATTTAAAAAATATATATATATATATTGATGTTTCGTTAGGGTTAAGTTCATTTTAATTTTTCTTAGAAAAACATCCCTAAAACTATCAGTGACATGCCAGATGTGTCATAGCAAAGTTATTCAGGAACCCCCATATATATATATATATTTATAAAAATGGGTAATTGAAACCTCATGTCAACTATATCTAGCTGAGACAAAATGACAACGATCTGCTATGGATCTCTGCAAAAGGGCGGATACAGAACACATTATTGCTGGATTACATGAGTCTCAGATACTGTTAATTAATGCCGGTTTCATCTTTGCGTCACGATAGTGCGTCTTAACTGGCACTCAGGAGTGACCCTAAACTACATATTTGCCTTTTCACGTTTAGTTGAAGAATTAACAGAACACGTTTTGGTGATGCGTCATTACAAAATACAGCCTGCTGGATTTTTTAATGAGTTTATTGTGAACTTTCGTGCGTAAAACGTCAAACTTTATTGGATACGTGAGGTGTTGTAGGCCGAGAGGAAAATATTATAGTGGGCTTTACTCGGTACATTTTATTCTCACGTAATTTGCTGCTCATCTGTTAGACAGTAGTGACCTTAAACGACCACTTCTCGCTTCACTGACCGCCCTGGAGACATCACAATAGACGGCAATTTGTTTGGCGTGTCTTCCTCACCAGCGCCCCCCAAAAACATCTGGATCAGTCATATAAAGAGTTTATAGGTGAGCTCCATGTGTAGAAAGTTAAATCCCAAATTGGTTTTGAATGTTTTTGGAAAGAGGCCAAACTGAATGTTGCCATCTCCAAATCTCATTGGTATTAAAAAAATGTGCAATCAGTTCAAGTCAAGTCAAACTTTATTTGTAGGCCTATAGCACATTCAAAAACAAGTTGACCAAAGTGGGGAGAACAAAATACAAATGAATACAAAGCAAACACCAATAACAACAGAATAAATCAATAAACATAATGTGCACATATAAAATAACAACATTAGCCTACTGAAGTCAAAAGTGTCAAGCTCAACTTAATAATCAGACGCCAACGAGAAGAGGGGTATACTTCAATGTTTTTGATGAACTGTTCCGGAGATTAGAGTTCATAGGGACATCACGAGCATCGGAAAGGTCGACCTCGGTGCTCTAACGGGAGTATGAAGATGCAAGAGTTATGTGGCGCCATCCCATTTAAAACCTTAAAAAAAGGAATGACATTTTTAAATCAATCCTGAAACGGAAAGGAAGCCACGAGGAGGGAGGCCTGGTATACTGAATACTGGTGATATGTACTCCCGTTTGTTTTTAACAGTGAGAAGACGAGCAGCGGCATTTCGTAAGTGCAGACGACGAATCTGTTGTTATTCAAAACAATCTAAGCACCACAGCAGGAACATGAGATGTCATGTTGACAGGATTGTATCTTTTCTCTTTTTGAAGCATTCTTTTGTTCTCTCGAAATGTGTAGAGGACCGGGGAGTGTTGTAGGCCGACACATTTTCTGTTGGAACATTTTATTCACAATGTATCTGCACTTTCCGATGTAGTCTTGAAATTGTGCCACTGTGAGCTTAGCCAGTGATCACTTGGCTATTATTTGCATTTAAGTTTATGTAAATCTGAATTTAGCTGAGTTTAACCCCTGATATGCCTTTATTTCAACATGTTTTTTTCTTTTTCTTATTGTATACATTTTAATCTCAATAGTGCTTTTCTTCAAATGAATAATAATCTTTCCATAAAATGTAGATTATTGCCTTCGCAAAAGGAATAGCCAACATGGCGTACTCATTGTCAAAGCAAAAAAGCTCTTTTATTATCATCTTCATCATCATAATCATCATCGTCATCATAATAAACACGTAAATATGCGCAGCTTCTTGTTGATACTGAGCACTCTTTTTGCTCAGATATATTTCGATATTTGTACTATTTCACACATGATTTAAAAAAAATATTGATGATAATTTCATCAGAAAACACTCCTTTATCTTCAATATTTAGAAGACAATACGTCCTCAAATTTTAGAGAACGATAGCATTTTGTACTCATACCTCAGAGAACCTTAGAGGGGCGGTGCTGCCTCCTCTCCTCCTCCCAGCTTCTGGCTCTCTGAACCGGGAAGGCTGGCTTGGGGCGTGCGCTCTTATGAGCAGCTCCCAAAAATGCTCAGATGGGCGGGGGGCAGAGGGGGTGAGACAACTAGACAGGAAGACAGATCCTTATCGATGAGGCCGAGGTAAAGAACCACCATCGAACGATCGCGGCAGCAACGTTTGTTTATTTGCTTTTTCCCCTCTCACCTTTAAGCCTCATTACGCACACTCATCCTCCTGATCTCTAAACCAAGAAGATGCCCAAATCCTCACCGTGCGTATTCCCGAGGTCCTTCCTGTGGCTGGCATCTTTAGCTACTTTGGTGGTGCAGTCGGTGCTCTCTTCCTCCCACTCTTCTTCTACCTCCTCTGCATATCAGAGATCTGCAGCCGGTGGGAAGCGGCCGGGCTTTATGGAGAGGACGCTGGTTCTCCTGGATGTCAACACCCGCAGTCCGATCAGAGTCCTCAACGACAACTTCCTTTCTTTACAGCTGGACCCCTCGATCATCAAAGACGGCTGGCTGGACTTTCTGAGGTACCAGAGTGTTCTTATGTTCACCAATACCACCAATACCACCCCTCAAATGTCTGGTGGTTCTTTTATTCATTACGCACGCAGCCACGTTGTCTAAGTTGTCATGGAGTGAGCCAGCATGTTTCTTCCTCACTTACGGCACTGAGTGGTCCAATGTTCCACATTACTGAATGACTTTCATCGACTGGCAAAGTCCCAAATCATATAATTTAATAAGGAGATGATGAGAGTGAGCGATTGGTTCAAATGCTATCCATTTCGGGGTTGTTGCTGTTATAGTGCACATCGTGCTCTGTATGCAGACAGTATACATGTATAGGCTACAGACAGTATGCAGTGTGTCGATTGATATTAGACAAAATTATTTACCGCTTACCCATGTAGAATAATGCAAAATGTACATTTCACAAGTCATCAAATCTAGTTTTGAGGTTTTATTATTTTCTCTTAAAAGAGCTAAAAGTCCAATTTCACTTGGGTCCAATGTCATGCTGTTTTAAATATTCTTTTAGAATGCATTTGTGACTGACTGTCATTCAGTTTGGTGACTTTTCACCACAGTACCTTTCTCAGAACAGTCCAAATTCCCCACATTATGAGATCAAGACACTAACCTGCGCCACTGGCACACATTTGGACCATGGATTAGGAATCATGGCAGTTTAGAGTTCAAAACGTGGCAAAATAACTAATCAAGAATGTTTACCTATCACGTGCTGTATTTGATTTAATACAATGTGACTAATGTTATTTATTCTCATTGTTTAGTTCCGTTTCTATATCACATTGTATCATTGTCAGAGATAAACATGATCTAGAAGATGATCTAAAGGGCAAAACACTACATCACTTTGTCAAGTGCACTTCATAATCTGGAAACCATTTACTTACAAAAGGTGAGGAGAGCACGTTTAACCCCGTGCGTGTGCCCCATTCGTCCCCTATACAACTGTTTTTATTATTTTACAATCAATTCATAATAACATTTTTTATTTTCAATTCCACAACATCAAATAGCCTACCATTCTCTCTTTCACACAACCTTTTTAGCAACTTTGTTATGTTAGTTATTTTCTGCTGAATCATTTATGATGAATATTATATACATTTTACCCTCATCAACTACAATTTGAGTAATGTTTGTTTCGCATAAAATGACAAGCGGTCTGCACTGCAGTCTGTAGGCCTGTCGGCCGTCACTTTTGGCACCTTTTGTCCTTTTATTGTGTTGCGTTTAAGCCGACTGCCACGTAGGCTGTAAATAAAAAAACAGCGGTTTGCAAAAAATAAAAGTCCCTCATATACTGTCATTTTTCGTAACATGAAACGTCATATGCACTGGATATTAACTTTTAAAATTGCTATATTTTCACGGTGTTCAGTTTCTGTCTATATAATAATAGTAAAAGTAAAGTAGGCTACTATTTCGAATACTAGCCTATTTGTTATCAAAGACAATTCATTATATGTTTCATTTGTATAATAAACAAAGAACATCTTGTTTTCGGCGAGTTTGTGACAGCTGAAAATAAAAGATACCGATTATTGAAAAACTCCTTATTTGCGGTGGTCTTCATGAAGAGGAAGTCATTTGAATCTAAAATAGTGGTGAGTAAAACCATTTGGCCGCGTGTGTTACGTTTTCCTTCCGTTTCTCGGGCCTGCTGATGTCAAAGAGAAAAACAGAGCAGACGTTTTGTGATTGTCCTGCGGTGCTTAAACAGCCACTGCAAAATTAAATGACTTAATTTGTATCTCCGTTAGGTCATCTTTTTGACATGTGGAAATATAAATAATCTGAATGAAAGTAGGCTAAATTGAGTGGGTTAGGATTTGCCTTCATTCGTCCGCTCCTCCTACATATGACCGTGAGACTCTATACATAAAATGTCATGCCATGTCCTTTGTGTCCGCAGCTCCAAGCGGCTTGTGACCCTAGCGCGCGGCCTGTCTCCTGCCTTTTTGCGTTTTGGCGGAAAGCGAACCGACTTCCTGCAGTTCAACAACCAGAAGAACCTCGCCAAGTTTAGAGGGCCGGGGCCAGACTACTATCTGAAGAACTACGAAGACGGTGATTAGACATTTCTCTTCGTCTACTTGTCTCTATGTGTATTTCTGACGGACTCATAGACGTCTGCTCCGTCTGTCCGCGTTTCACCTCTCTAAATGAACAGTTAGACGCACAGAGTTAATTTTAGTGCAACATTATTATTTCCTACAAATGTTAGGTCGTTTATTTATTATAAACAGCCTCCATTTCATTTTAAATACAGTAAGTTGCCAGTCAGTTAGGGGCACCTAGTTTATACTAACACCGGCCCTACAATGAAATCTATACCTTCACGAGGGAGATTCGTGAGGCGCTTCTTATATTTACACTTATTAAATGGAATGAAGAAAATATTATAAACACGTCTTTGTTTAACACAATCCGCATCAATTTAACTGAGCATCAAAATACAACCTCCGACATTACCATAACGTTTAATTAGCACCTCTTCAAAACCGTTTCAACAAAACCTGAAATTGTGACCGTCAGGATTTATCGTAAGGTCCGTGAAGTAGACATCATTAGTTAGCTAGGTGTCGCAACTAAATTGCCAACTCGGTGAATTTAAGGCACTAAAGATGTTGTTTTTGTAACATGGTAGCATATAGGGCTTCATATAACACACATCAGTGTTACTTTTCAAGATATTTGACCATTTTACCATTGTATACACAAACGTTTCTGTTTTTGAAAAGTACCAAATGTGTGTTTAAAATGACACAACTTATCTTAGGTTTCAACAGGTGAACCAGGCTTTACTTGCAAATTCAATTGACCAAACAAAAGTGTTTTAACTTGTGGTGCATAGTATTTTTTGATGAAAATAGCAACATAGCTGTGAAATTGTTCACATCCATGACAACAAAAATATTAGAGTCGCCTTCATTTCTTCCATCTATGCCCACTTGCAGACATAGTGCGCAGTGACATTGCATTGGACGAGCAGAAGGGCTGCAAACTGGCCAACCATCCTGACATAATGCTGGAGCTGCAGAGGGAGAAAGCTGCCACCACACAGCTCGTCCTGCTGAAAGAGCAGCTGTCCAACATCTACAGCAACATTACGATAACAGGTAGGAGATTACACACACAAAAATGTCTCTTTTTTGGGGCGCCTGCTCATATCCTAAGAAGCATGTTATCCATGTTCACATAGCACAGTCTGGACTTTGTGGGTCCTGCACGTTCATGCAGATGCGTAAGTGCAAACACACACACACACGTTCTCTCACACAAGGTTCAAAGCATGCCAATGTAAACCATCAGCTTTCTAAATGACAAATGTAATTTGTAAAGGAGGAATGTGGGGATGGATCGAGGAGTGCAGCAGCAGAGGCTAGTAAACAGAGCACTGACATTTTCACTGGTTACAGTTAACTCAAACTGACCGCAGAAGGAACTCTGGAGTCCTGATTTTGGGTGGGCTGCATTTCTTATCTGTTTCTGTGATTGACTTGGATGTAAATGAGAAACGGCAGGAGAAGAGAGTAAATGAGGGACTTGTCTGTTAAAATTACTGTGGTTTCTTGGAGTCATTGTAATGAGTGAGTCTATAAAAAAGACTGAGTCGGTGTCAGAAATGATCAGTTAACTCTTCGCATGGATTTAAAGAGCTGAGAAGTAAACGTCAGTCAGTTGGTTAAGATAATCAGAAATTAAAAGAAAAAGTTTAGCTCCAACCCCTGAGAAATCGTAAAAGTAACGGCATTGTTAGAACAATACACCGAATGCTATTCCAAGTCTTTGCTGCTCTGTTGCTTCTCCTTACAGAAACACACACGTCCTATCCTCTTTAGCATCTTGAAAAGATAGTGGGTGGGGAGTGTTTTTTGGGTGGGTAGGGTTTTAATTCCAAAACACAGAACCACCCAGAAAGTGAGTCTTGAAAGCCAAAGAGCTCCTGGAAAAATAATTGTGGACTTGGAAGTTGAATCCAATCAAAGAGAATACATTATTTATGTGCTATACGGCAGTAAAAGTCAGACTTAGAAAGCCTTTTAGAAGGATAAAGGGTGAGATGTGGTACCATGTTCCCTGTAGATCCACAGAAATATGAAATATTTGGTTATGAGTTTTGGAAAGACATTGATAAATTATGTTAATCAAAGAATCCAAGTCTCCCTCAAGTGAATGCAGTTGGATGTGTCACCAATATGTTTAGTTATTATACACACAGAACCGGCGGCCTCACATGAGTAGGTCGGGAATGTGTTCTCCTTGTTTTCAGAGGGTCTCGCTTCACTGGTGCAACCGCACTGTGTGTTGCTGTATGAGTGATAGATGTGGAACATTTATCAGCTGCGTAATTCGGATACTCTCAAGTGCAACAGTCAAAACATGGCCTTGTTGCATTTATCAAGTAGGCAGACGCATAGAGGAAGATTTTGGAGGGAGAGGTTCAGCATCCTATTTTTAATCCTGTAGTGTTGCAACTGTGCTAAAAGCCATCATGGCCCTTTCAGTCTTTCATTTTAAAATGTTTTCATTAAACTTGGTAGTTTTCATTTTTTTATCAAGCATGCTGATAGTGATTATGTGACTATATGTTTGGTTTATTTTCAGGTGTGCATTGTATATTTCATTTATCAGGAGCATATAAGTACAGCATATTGTATCATGTGATTTCAATTACTAAAGTCCCAGACAATATGTCGTCCTATAACAATTATCAGTAATACATAAATTGTTGTATTTTGGTAAAACAAACAAGTGTAAACTAATAAAACCATGTTTGAGACAACTAGCCTCTTTCTCACACATGTGGTATAGTGGTAATGTTTCCCAAAATTAGGACCACATTTCCCATAAACCCTGCTGCTTCCTGTCACAAAGAGGATGTTACCGCTTGCTCACTTAGCTTTGCAGCATGGAGTCTTCTCGGTGATACTCAAGTAAAAATAAACACAGACATGATTGTCTGATGTTAAAATATGCATAGCTCCTTTGAGCTTATACTGTTGTGCAGACTCTAATTACTTTTAAAACAGATTTTACACTTGGAAATATGAAGACATATAAGTTAAAAATATTGATTCAATAAAACTTATGGTGATAATGAATCACCACTGAATGTTATTTTCCAACACACCAGACATTCTTGCATCATTTTACTGATTGATTAACGACCCTGTGGAGTATCTTGTCTCTTTAAATGTGAGCTCCTGGTGCGATGGATCCTTTTTATGGGGTAGAAGTAGAGTTGAAAGACGGAGAGCGGCGCCGTGCTGTTTTCGAGCATGTGCCGTATTTGATATCAGACTGGTTGGCTTGAAGTAGGGGATGAAGCCAAGCAGAAGGATGTCATTTACCCAAAGCTGATATACTGTGAAGTGTTCTCACAGAAACACTCATTTTTTTTGCGCACAGACACAAGCTGCCGGTTTGCCCAATGGGAAATGTTGTTCGAAGATTGTTTGTGAAGGACGAGTTACCGTTTTCTTTTTATGGTACAAAAATTAGCCTCTGGTGAAATCCAGCATTCGACATTGACTCTGTTTAATAACTCACCAGAATAAACACTGATAACGCCGAAAAAGTCCTGAGAGTGTGAACATGTTTATGGTCTCATTATTACTCTCAGTTGAACTCCAAGCATGTTGTGTAAACTAGAATCTGTGCATCTCAGTGGTGGAGAGAAACAGGGGTACAGAGGCACAAGGGATGCTTTTAAATACGGTCTGGTAACAATCAGCCAAGATTCATTGTGTGTGTGTGTGTGTGTGTGTGTGTGAGAGAGAAGGCAGTAGTTGTTTGAAGGACCTTTAACAGTCTCGCTCCATCCTTTTCCACTCACCACTGTCTGACATTTGACCTAGGCTTGTTAGAGCTATCAATAATGGAGCCACTCTGAGCTAACACACACACACACACATTCACACACACGTTCAGCTGGGGAATATAATCGAGAAAATACCCCAAGTTCAGACCAGGTCACAGTCAGGGTCATTTTGTGTCTCTCTGCATGGAGCATTTCCCCCCATCAGCCATCACTTCTTCAATTCTCTCTTCTCTTCCTCTGCCTCCATCACGTCCCTCCTCTCCACAACTTGACACCTCTCCCTCACTTTCCCTCTCATGTTTACTGTTAGTTTAGCTGTGTATATTGTGACTTCATGTGAAAGTCCTATGTTTATTTGACACGTCAGAGAATGAGAGGCAGTCAATCCGTTCACCTTGTGACCTCAAACGCCTCTTCCGTGTGTTTTAAGGCTCAAAGGGTAAACGCAACTCAATTTAAGAATTCCTATACTGTGTTATTCTTGTAGTCTAAGGCCGGCCGATCAATATTTGAGAACACTGGGAAGAAGAAAATCCCCCCAAAAGAGAGAAACTGGAGAAGTAGGAGTCAAACATGGGATGTTTTCAGTTATAAGGTCTGCAGATGCTTGTGGGACAATGAATAGCAAACCTGTTTAGCTATTTCTGTTGGAAGGATCGAGGATTTCACTTTTAATGTTTCCTTTGATTTTCAAGAGATAGAAAACATTGTGCACAACTCAAAAGCATATTGACATCAGATGATGTGAACATTTCATGTCACGATTTTCCTGTGAAGAAACAACTATTTTTATTTCTTCACAGTTAGGACACACATCTTTTTTTTTTTTTTTTTTTTTTTAGTGAAAACCGAATAATCTTCAATAAGGTAGGCCTAATCATAAATCATAAGGTCCCGCTGCATAAATAAAGGATAAATAAATAGCAACATTGTGTGAATCTGTTCTTTCTTACATGATGATTCCTGTAGCTAGACAGTTTTTACAAGTCTCTCAGATGTACAGGAGGAAAAAAAAGAATGAGTCATACGACATTTATCACCACAAGCAACCTCATCAATGAGGAAAACACAAGGAAAATGTACACTATATTATGATTATAAGTACAGTAAAAGAACAAGATGAGAAGTGATAAGTAACACTGAAGTAATGTTGCTGTTGGTCCAGTTATTTTAAGTTTTTGGACACAGGCACCTACTGGACATCAGTGTAGGAGGGGGGATTGGGAAGACGAGCCATCTAGATGAGATGGGGGGCAGAGTAGGACGGAGGTTGGATTTTAATTTGGGACGGAGCCAGGTTCATGGAGAGCAAAACACATGTTGTATAACAGAAATGCAAAAGAAACTAAAATCCTGCAACAATCCGAACTTCAAAATAGCTGGTTGTTATCGTCTTGATATTTCTGGTTTTCTGTATGTGAGAGTAAATGTAGCTTTAAATCGATGGATTCTCCTGCAGGAACAATAGCACAAAACACAGCCAGTGTTGAACTGAAACAAAGCTTACAAAGGGGCACTGGATGCTGGTTTGACGCCACACCACGTGATCCATGAGGTCATACTTTTTTATTGATCATAAGTTTTGGTTCGAGGCATCACATTAATAAACATTATTTTAATGAGCCAAAAGTTGACGTCACGATCTCCTCTTTCTCTCTTACTTTAGTCTGACCTCAGATGTGGCGCATCAAGTATCACAAATGTTTACAGTTTCAAATCAGTGGTTAGATTGCTGAGAGTACATCAGACACTAATACCTGAGCCCCTCTCTTTGAACTGACACAGAGGTGCAGCAGTCACAGCCAGAAGCCTCTCACTGGGAGCTGCAGGGCTCCATTGAAAGGAAACATGAGAATGACAAAATAGAGGTGTGATGCAATACTAATGTAACCCTGCTTTCACAACAAACGTGCAAGTGCAACAGAGCAAGGACATTATTTTTTAAGTGGCTACGCACTCCTGAACAGCTGCATAAGCCAGAGTGCGGAGCGGTTTGCGCTGTCCTTATTTTCCACCAGGTTTTTGGGCCAAAGTTAATCAAAATTTAACTTTTACCCCGAATATGCTGACTTTCAAGATGCGTGTTCTGGCATTGACGGGGAGGTCTTGGACGAATCTGCTGCTCATGATGGACCGTGTAGCACGTCTGACCTTCATGCAGGGGATAAGAGTTTGCATCCTGTCACAATGAACACAATGTATGAACCATCAACACTATCTTTACCCTACTTTAACCAACTGTTCCGGTTTCCTAGCGTTAAACATACCCTAAACATAGTTTATTTACAATGTCCA